TCCTCGAGCTTTCTGTCACTGCGAACCCCGGGAGACGTCCTGGGAGTGATCATCAGTCTGGTCGGACCGAGGTCTAAGATCGAGGTCGGCTCGGGGACGGTGCCCTCATGTTCTTCATGGTTGTTGGATGCTCTTGTGCACCCTGGGGAGGGACCCATGGATGCTCTGTGTGTATTGGTCGGCGGAGGGCCCCACGTCCTTGAAGGATGCTATTTTATCCTTGGTCCGGCTGTAGCGGTATCGGTACGTCTTCGTCCCCCCCAAGCGGCGGTCCGTCGGAGGCCCTGTTCGGCCCTCGGCCGACGTCGGCGGCCGTCGGCGAACATCGGCGGCCGTCGGAGGCTTCCGTGGGAGGAGCCGGGAGGAGCAGGAAGAGCATCGGCGGCGAACGAGGGGGGACGTGAGAAGGAGAAGGCCTTCTCAGGAGGCGGCGGGGCTTCTCAGGAGGGCTCCAGCGAGAATAAGCCCGAATCCAACCACTTCGGACCGTTTGCGAACCACTTCGGACCGGTTGAAACCAGTTGAGGGCGATTGATCGCAACGTGCCATATTCTTTTCGTAACCGTACAACGCGAAAGCGAGAAGCTGATTTCATTTTCCCAGCGCCTGGAGGATACTGAGGGACTCGTGAGGATTCCTGGGGGAATCTTGCGGATCCTGGAGGACTCTCGGCGATTCCTAAAGGATTCCGGGGAATTCCTGAAGGATTCGGGGGGGGGTCCGGGAGGATTTTTGAGGATTTTTGCAAGACTCTTGAGGACTGGAGGGATTCCCAACGAATGTTTTGGGGATTCTTCACGGATTCCTGAGTGATCCAGTTGTGTCTGGAGGGATTCCTAAGGAACTCTGGGAGGACTGCTGGGGGACTCTTGCGGATTCCTGAGGGACTTTGGAGGGATTCCAGAGGGAGCCTCGAGGGTTCCTAGGGATTCCTGCAAGATTCCTGAGAGAGTCTTGAAAATTTGTGGCGGTTTTGCATTCGTCATTCCTCCTGCGTTCTCCGCCGTGTTGGCGCTGTCAGTCGTCCGCCGTCCGCCGTCAGTGGTCCATCGTCGTCGTGCTCTCTCTCTCTCTCTCTCTCGCGCGAGCCGCCGCCCGTGGGGAATGGGAGGATTGCGAGCGAATTGTAGGAGGAGGAGGAGGTGGAGGAGGAGAAGGAGGAGAAGGGGTGATGATAAAGAACATATGATGATGGTGGTGCTGATGATTGGTAATGGTGAATGACGATGGTGATGATACTGAAGCTGATGTTACTGATGATGATAACGATGGTGATGGTGCTGTTGATGAGGATGGTGATGATTATGCTGATGATAATGATGGTGATGGTCATGGTGATGGTGATGCTGTTGACGAATATGATGGTGGTGATGATGGTGATGGTGGTGACTAAGATGAAGTTGATGATGCTGATGATGGTAGTGATGTTGGTGATGATGATGTTGCTGATGCTGATGCTGCTTCTCATGCTGAAGGTAGTTGTGTTGATGATGATGATGATGATGATGCTGATGAGGATGGTGGTGATGCTGATGAGGATGATGATGATGATGATGATGGTGATGATGATACTGATGGTGATTATAGTGGTGATTGCGATGATGATGATGATGATGATGATGATGATGATGATGATGATGATGATGATGATGATGATGATGGTGATGGTGATGGTGATGGTGATGGTGATGATGCTGCTGATGACGATGAGGATAGTGATACTGGTGCGAAGGAGGGCGTTGATGACGATGATGGTAAGGAGGGCGAATCTGGGCATGAGAAGAGGAGGGGGGTGATATGGGGGGGTGATATGTAAGGTGGGAGGAGGAGGGGTTGGAGGAATTTGAGGGGCAATATGGAGTAGGAGACGACGAGGTAGATTAGAGCATGAGGATGAGGCTGGCGATGATGGTGATTATGCTGGTTGTTGTGGTGCTGCTGATGATGATGATGATGATGATGACGATGATGATGATGATGATGATGATGATGATGATGATGATGATGATGATGATGATGCTGATGCTGATGCTGATAATGATGATGATGGCAATGATGATGATGATGGTGATGGTGATGGTGATCATTGATAAAGCTGATGATGGCGAACGGTCGGCGATCGGACAGATAACAACCGCTTTTACAGAGTTCCATCGGGAAGCTGAAGGGAGCTCACTGCATCCAGAAGCACTCTTATGATCTCTCCCTGAATATGAGCCTTCTTGAAGAGCCCACCAAACGTCGCAACCGCTTCAGACCGACCGCAACTGGTTGCAATCTGTCCGAAGTGGTCGCCGATCGGTCCGAAGTGGTTGCCACCGGTCGTAATCACGTACCTTCTGAGAAGTTCTGTGTCTTCGGGGAAGGCTGAGAAATCTTCTCAGAAGACCAGGGGACTACCGAGCCTTCTGACAAGGCCCGCCCTTTCTCACTTCCCCCAGGGCTCGCCGCCGAAAGGAAGAGCGAGGTTCGAGAATAGAGGGTCGAGGTTCGAGGGCCGACTTTTCGGGACGAGCTCGGGTCTTGTTGCTGTCGCAGCCATAGTCGTCGTCGTCCCTAGGGATCCCATGCGCCCCCACCCGAATGCCCAGAGCCCCTCCGCACTTTACTCCACCCTCGTCCTCTTTCTCGCACGCATCAACGTCATTGTTCTGGTCGTCCCTTTCCTCATCCTCCTCATCTTCCTCCCTCGCACCTCCCGACCTTTCTCCTCGCCCCCCTTCGTCTATAAACATTATGAGTATGCTGCTATCCCTCCTTGTCCTCGCGGGTTCTTTTTTCTCCCACTCCTCGTCTTTCTCATATTTGTATTGCTCAGCCCTCCTCTTGTTCTGGTAGGCCAGATCTGCGGTGAGGTTCAACTCACATGCAACACACCCTTGATTGACGGCCCGAGATCCGATAAGCGGCAGAGGATGCGGAGGAGGCTCAGGAGGAGGAACGGTGGCCGCTGATCATGCTCAAGGCGATGTGAATACTGTTTTGCGTGACCTTGGTGTGTGTGTGCAGACGCCCGCCCATTGGGAACTTGCACTCGTTTCTTGTTTCCGCCGCCTGAGGTAGAGAAGGATGCCGACGCTGCCACGATCAAGAAGAGCTACCGCAAGCTGGTCCTCAAGTATGCGGCTGCCTGCGGCAAGTCCCGCTGCCGTGCCAGCGAGGCACTGATCATTGGTGTGGCTCCAAGCTAAGGTTGTTCTGCCATGGGCCAACCGCAGTTCCACGGGGCCTCCACGGCCCCCAGCATCCGCTTGGGCCATCTCGGGCGTGCTGGTTACCAAGCTCGTCCGAAGCGAAAGTGCGACAGCCACCTTGAGGCCTCCTGGATCAGTCTCTGGGGCCGTCCTGGGGCGGATGACGCCTGTGACGTCCAGGCTAGGCGCCAGGCGCGGAGCACCATGGGGCCCGCGGGGCAGTTCAGAAGGTTCTCCAGTCCAGGGGGGGGGGGAACGCCCTGTCAGGGGCCGGTGTGCCAGGAGGTTCTTTATGGCGCCTTTCGCCATCTTGGGGCCAAGGGCTCCGTGGCCATCTGGGCGCAGATCGGGGCCGCCTCTTGGGGGTGCGCCCCCCTTGCGGGGGTCCCCCCGGGACCCTCTGGGCGCCACCTCGGGGCCGGCTCTCGGGCCTCTCCTGCTGGCCGCCTCGGCCATCGCCCAGGGGGCCGCCTCGGCTGTCGCCTCGGGGGGCCCGTCTTGGGGCCCGGCCCGCGCGCCCCCCCCCCGCACTGGCCGCTGGCCACCGCCTCCCCAGCTCGATCAGTCGGCCGTCGTGCTTTTCGGCGCCAGGGTGGCGGGCGCCCGGGGCCTCCAGGGGCCGCCCCCCGAGGGAGGGGAGGCGTGGCAGGCAGGGAGCACCGACGGTGGACTGAATGGAGGGCCACCTTCCGGAGAGCCTCCTGGGCGCCTCTTGGGGCCCCCCGTGGAGCTGTTCGGAGCCGCTTGGGGCCATTTGAGGTTCTTGGCGCCGCCGTTTGGCTCGGGCGACGTGATGCGATGAGGGAGGCTGCCCTTGGAAGACTTCTGGCATGTGCAATGGCATTCCATATTGTGACGCGCCCCTGCGTGCCAGGTGGCACGGTGGCGGACCACCCAGACAAGAATCCTGACAACGCGGAGGCTGCAGAGGAGAAGATCCGCAGGATCAACAACGCGTACGAGACGTTGAGCAACCCAGCGAAGCGCATGGTCTACGATAACCAGGCAAGGTCCATGGAGACTAAGGCTCGGGGCATGCGCGTGGACACCTCGATGATCAAGCCTCGGATGAGCATCCCGAAGGCATTCATGCTGCATCCCATGGGGCACCCGGACAGGTTCCTACGCGCCATCGGGCGCGGGCTCGCCTTCCACTGCCGTGCTGACTTGCCCGAGGTAGAGTTCGACGCGTTCTTCCAGGCGGCCGTCGGCCTGAGCTGGCGCGAAGTATGCTCCGGCTTGCTCCTCAGACAAGGAAGCGATACCGATACCGGTACCCTTTCCTAGTCACCACGGCGGGATTCGCTTCGAAGTTCTGGTCAGAACGCACCCTGGGAGAGGTCTGGGGAGTAGCCGTATCGGTACGTGTTTGCCTCAGCTACTGTGCTTGATCCCCCCAGTCGGGTCGATCCTGAGCACAGGGCTCGAGTTATACGGTGTTTGGGCGATTTCGTGGACCGTTTTCGTTTTGATTCCGTTTCGTAGCAAAGGCAGAACGACGACACAACGAATGAATCCGAAAACAAAGCGAAAACGAGAAACACTGTTTAGCTCGAGCCCTGCCTGAGCGCGTGCGGGTGACGCCGGTTCCCGATGTTGGCATCTTCGTGTCTCTTCTCTTGTCTGGTGCCAGCTTGCGCGGCACCCCCATAACATCCAATAGCGAGTCCTGGTTCATTATCCTCGCCCTCCTCCTCCGGGTCCTACTCGTCTTCCCCCTCTACCTTCCCACCCCCTCCCATGAAAGAATACATGTCAAAACTGCTCCCCACAGACTTCCCAGGTCCACGCGATTTGTTCGAGCCTACTCCTCCATCCTGGGGACTCCTCCTGGGATCCATTCTAGCTTGTCTTCCATGCGGGATCGATGTCTTACAGTCCCTGGGCGAAACGGTCCGCCAGAGGCCCGAATGAGGAGCAACCCCTTTGCGATGTTTAGCATGATTTACTCCTGCACCCCGCAGGGGAAGCCTCCTGAGGTCCATCCCTGTTGGATTTCTGACGGTCCCTGGATCCGAAGTATGCCCCAGACATTGCAAATGGCGCAAGACCTCATCGAACCTCATCTTCCAACCTCCCCCGTTTCTCCCTCTTCTCCTCCCACCTACTCCTGAGGAGGGAGGGGGAGGAGTAGGAGAGAGGGGGGGAGAAGGAGGAAGGGGGGGGGACAGGAGAGCTAAGGAAGAAGGGGGGGGGACAGGAGAGCTACTGCTGAGCTGCCACAGGGCGATGGCCGCCCTACTGCGTGCGCCTCCACCCTGCAGGGCGTGGCCATCGCAGCTAGGACGGGGGCCTTATCTCACAGGACTTGGCCCCAGCATGCTTGCGGAGGCGAAGGGGGGAGGCAGCAACCATACCCCACAGCGCGGCTGTTAGCGAGGGTTGGCGGAGCAGGCGAGGGAGGGAGGGTGGGAGGGTGCCGCAACCGGGTTGCAACCGTGCCACTCAGGGCGTGGCTGGCCGGGGGCAGCTTCATTCCGCAGGCTGTGGCTGGCGTGCGGCAGCCGTACCACGCAGGGCGCGCTGTCGGAGAATAGCCGTGCCCCCGAGGGCGTTGCTGACAGAGCAGGAGGGGGGAGGAGGAGGGGGGAGGAGGAGGAGGAGGAGGAGGAGGAGGAGGAGGAGGAGGCGGAGGAGGAGGAGGAGGAGAAGGAGGATAAAGAGGAGGATAAAGAGGAGCAGGACCAGCAGCAGCAGCAGCAGCAGGAGCAGGAGAAAGAGGAAGAGAAGGAGAGGACGAGGGAGGAGGAGGGAGGAGGAAGGAACGGAGGAGGGGGGGAGGGAGAAGGAGGAGAGGAGGAGAGGAGAAGGAGGATAAAGGAGCAGGACAGCAGCAGCAGCGCAGGAGAAAGAGGAAGAGGAGGGAGGAGGGAGGAGGGAGGAGGGAGGAGGGAGGAGGGAGGTGGGGGGAGGGAGGAGGATGAGGAGGAGGAGGAGGAGGAGGAGGAGGAGGAGGGAGGAGGGAGGAGGGAGAAGGAGGAGGAGGAGGAAGAGGAGGAGGAAAAGGAGGAGGACCAGTGTAAACCCAAGAGCCATCAACGATGTTGGAAAGCGCCCTCCCTCCAAGCTCTCTCTTCATAGGCCCCTGCATCGGTGCATTTCCATTGAGAGATCTGCCTCGTTGGAAGACAACCGTTTGAAGACCTGGAAGCATGCCAAAACATTGTTCTCTGGATTCCAACGCCACGGATCAACCTGACTGTTGCGTCTTGACGATCGTGGATCGTGCCAGAACGCCGTTCATGGGATTTCAACACCGCGAATCGACGTAACTGTTGCACCGGCAAAATCGCGAACCCGTCCAAAACACCATATCTGGGTCGTTGATAGTGGGAACGCGTGGAACCCTTGCAAATTGTATGAACCAATGTGCGCGGCGCTAAGGCAAGAGCCACATTTTGAAAAGGAACCGCCCTCAACCCATGAATCTCTTGCAAATGTTTAACACGAGCGTGCGCGGCGCGAAGGCGAGAGCCACATGTTGGAAACGGGTTATCCTCAATCCGTGAAGCCCTTGCACATTTTGAGAACGAATGTGCGCGGCGCTCAGGCGAGAGCCACATGTTGAAAACGGCTGATCCTCAGTCCGTGAAGTTCTTGCACACTTTTAGAACGAATGTGCGGCGACGCCAAGGCGAGAGCCATTTTTCGAAGACGTGTGATCCTCAATCCGTGAAGCTCTTGCACAATTTAACAAACGAATGTGCGCGGCGCTAAGGCGAGAGCCACATCTTGAAAACCACCCGGCCTCCATCTGCGAAGCGGTTGTCAACTTTTGATATTCCGAGTCATAAACGGTGAGGAAGTCTGGCGAAACGCCCGGAAAGACTGAAAAACTGGTCTCGGGGTTCGACATGGAGAAGTTAGGTTTAAGGAAAAGGATTGGAGGAGGAGGCGGAGGAGGAGAATGAGGAGGAGAAGGAGAAGGAGGAGGAGGAGGAGGAACACTGCGACGACGACACAAAGGAAGGGCGGAGGCAGGAGAAGCGGCGACAGCAGGAGGGGAAGGCGAAGACGACGATGACAACACGGGGAGAGGCGGCAAGTTGCCGAGAGAGCCCCGTGGCCAAGCTGCTTCTCCCTCACGGCGGCCCCTGCTCAAGGGCTTGCCCCCTTCAGCAGGCGCCGTTGTTTGCCCGTTGCCTTTGCGCGAGTGCGGTAGCAGCGCCTCCGGCGAGGCGCACCCTGGCGGCCAGCTCCTCGATGGTGTCCGCGTTGCGCAGCGCCCAGTCCATCATGTGGCCTCTCCGGCAGCCCCGACCCGGACGGCCACCGCGGCCTGTCGCCCTTCTGCGGAGGGCGGGAATTGCGCCACTCAGTGGCTGAGGCCGCTCGCCCCCGGGCAGCACATGGCGCACACGACTGGCGGCCGCCCCGCTGGGAGCCCCCACACTTCGGACGTGATGATACCGGTGATGCGCGCTGTGCACCACGCCCGGTGGAAGCGCCACATCGTCCAGCCCCAAGCTCACCGGCGCGGGGATCTGAATGGCGTGCTGTGTTGTTCTTCCTGTGACCGTTCTGCTGTTGGCAGCATTTGGCGGTTTCATGGCGAATGTTGGCAGCATGCCAGGAAGGGGTCGGAGCCCCTCGGTCGGCTCGCCCACGGACTCTGGCGAACGTCGGGCAGGAGCTTTCCAAGGTGATTGTGGTGAGTTGTCCAGGCTAGCACGTGGAAGCCACGCGTTCGCCATAGCACCATTGAGCTCCGCATTCTCCTCCTCCCCCTCCTCCTCCTCCTCCTCCTCCTCCTCCTCCTCCTCCTCCTCCTCCTCCTCCTCCTCCTCCTCCTCCCCCTCCCCCCTCCCCCTCCCTGGAGGCGGCCAGATTCTCCTTGTGGTGGCTGCCCCTGGTGAACAACATGTGCCGGCTCCGCACGCAGCCGCTCGACGTATCCACGGGCATTGTGGGGGCAAAGCAGGCGAGGCTCGCGCAACAGGCTCGGATAATGTGGAGGGTTGATGAGGAGAGAGGAGGAGAAGGATCGAGGGGGTAGAGAAGGAGGTGCACGAGGGGAAGAAGGAGCATGTGACCTGCATCCACGCCGACTTGTGCCTCGTCAGCAGGAGGAGGAGGAGGCGGAGGAGGAGGAGGGGGAGGAGGAGGAGCAGGAGCAGGAGCAGGAGGAGGAGTAGGAGGATGACGAGGAGGAGGGGGTCGACCAAGGTGCCGAACGTCGACACCGCCCTGAAGGCCGAGTTCGACTCGTCCTGCATGGGTCTGCGTTGCGGCGGTGACTATCCTTGCCCGTACGCCGACAACGTAGCCGCGCACCCGCATGTGGAGAATATGCCCAACCGAACGGTCGACGGATACAAGGTGCCGAACGCCAATACCGACCCCGAAGATCGGGTACGATCCGTCCTGCGCGGGGCTGCATTGCATCGAAGACGATCCTCGCAGCTACGTCGACAGCGCGGCCAGGCTACAACAGTGGAAGTACATGCCCAACAGCAGGGTGGACTGCCACTAGGTGCTGAATGCCAGCACGGCCCTGTGGATGGAGTGCGCCCCGTCCTGCACGGGTCTGCACTGGTTCAAGGGACGATCCTGGCAGTGAGATGTCCACCACGCCCTTGAACACCACGTCTGGGAACGGCAGCGCGCCGCTGAGACGCACGACGCAGGCGAGCACGACGACGTCGAGCAGCACGATACCAGGCCACTCAACCATACTACCTGAGGCGTTGTGGCAATTCTGGCCCGCCCGCCAGCGCGAAGGGAATAGTGTCATCCTTGTCCTTTACGCCTCCTTCGCGGAGGTTTGGACCACCACGGGCACAGAGGCAGCAGTGAACGAGAAGTTGCCAGGCCTCGGGTTCATGGTAGGCGATGTTTTCTGGCTCCTTGTCTTCAGGGCCCTCGTCGCCGTGGAGACGATGATGAGGGTATGGGCGCCGCCGTTTGCTGACTGACCCGTGGTCGCGTCGCGGCTGCCAGGCTGGATGTTCGCCGCTGCCGGAACCGCATGTGGGGAATACGGCCGAGCTACAGCCGACCTCGGAGGGATCATCGCCGTCGCCGCAGCCGCGTTTTTTTTGGCCGCCGCCCCCTCGTAGCGGGCGTCCCCTCACTCGCCCCAGCCGCTTGGGCCGTGCGCTGGATCGCCATTGATTCCGACGCGACGCTCGGGTATCCTGGCGAGGGCCCCGCCGCGGCCGTGGCATCAGTAGCAGTGGACCAGCCGCCAGAGCAGGTCGAGGTGCCGCCGCCGCCAGGGCCGCGCCCGCAATCCCGCCCACCTGGAAGCCCAGACGTCTTTGTGACGACGTGGGCAGTGGACGTCGTGCGTTCCCGCTGGCGCTGCCTGCGCCAGGCGAGCCACTGTCGGGGGTCCACAGAGAGGGCGAGCTCCGAGTTTTCAGCCCAGCGCTGGCTAACCCGCAGTAGTTTCATTCATCGCAGTGCATTGAGGGGGGCGTGGGGCCATGCGAGCAGGTGCACGGCACGGCGGCGCTGACGCCTGAACAGGAAGACGAGACGAGGGAGTGCTGCGACCAGCCCGACCGGCCCTCCGGAATGGAGCATGTGGAGGACGTCCGCCAGGCCAAGAGGGCCAGAGAGGACCCCGAATCACAGCGCTAGGCAGCATCGCTAGGAGCCCCACTTCAACGGGCGGACGATGGCGACCCAGGCAGGCCATCAGAGGAGAGGGGGGGGGGGGGGGGGAATTGACCGTCAGCAGCCGCGCAACTTTGCCTGGTAGGGCGGGGTGGTGTACCCGAAAGACTTCGTGGCGACGGTTACCGACACCGACGTTCCCCTCGAGGTCGAGGCGGCGGGGGGCCGGGCCTAGCTCCGGTGCCGGGTGGCCACGGCACGGCGCTACTTCAAGCATTGGAGTGCGGGGGTGGCCTGGCGCAGTATCGCGCGGAGAAGCTGTTCATTTTCTTGGAGGGGATGGTCTCGTTCAAGCCGTCGATGTCACGGGGCGGGCGAAAGGCTGGGAATAGCGGGGGCTTGGCCGGCATGTTCATCCTCAGGCTGGGGACGTGGGCCGGGCTTTCCAGGAATGCGTTTGCAGCAGTCGCCGGGGCACCGCGACGACTGCGCAAACCACTTGCGCTGGCCTAAGTCGCGAAGGCGGGGGAGAAGCTCGTGGGCGAGCACCTGATCAGCAAGGCCCTGGTCCACGCCAGCAGCCCGGCGACCCTGGCCGCCGGCGCGAGGGCCCAGGATGGGTTCGAGAAGTGGCTCCCCCGAGTGCATCGGCAGACCCAGGCGCGGCCCCCGGCCTGCCAGACCAGGCCACCGTGGACGACTTCGTCGCCGCCGTATAAACGAGCATGGCCAGAAGCTCGCAATGGTCGGGGCCAGGCGCGAACGGGGGCATATTCGAGCACTGGCGCACCCTTCTCGCGGACAGCGCTGCGCTCGAGGCTTTGGCCGAAATCGCTGTCCTCTTCCTGCGCGGGGGCCTCGGCGCAGTGGCGACCCAGGCCAACCTCGGAGCGCGGTTGGCGGCGCTCCGGAAGCCGAACGCACGGCGGGTTGCGACCCATTGCGCGCGGGGGAGTGTTCAGGAGGCTGGCGGCCAAGGCAGCCTGCGAGGTGCACGAGGCGGAGGTTCGCCAAGCGCGTGGGCCGCCTCAGTACGACGTGGGATAAGCAGCCGGGCGCGAGATAATGCACACGTGCACCTCCGCTCTCATCGAGCAAGCCCTCGCGGTGATGTCATGGCTTTCGACTGCTCGAACGCCTGCGTCAGCCTCCCGCGTGCTTGATTTTTCCCATGGGCTCTGGGCGCGGGGGCCCAGCCTCCTCCGCGCCGCGCGCAGATGGCCAGGGATGGCAACTAGTACGCACTTCTTGGGATGACACCAAAGGGGCCCTGCCGGCTACAGCCACCGCCCGCGTGGACCAAGGACGCCCGCTCTGCCACGGCTTCAACGCGATCATAGTAGCCGACTGCCTGGGCGAGGCCCCCCAGGAGCCCCAGCATATTTCGCCAGCCTGCAGGTTGTTCTCCAGGGCGACATGACGGCGATCGCGCCCCAGGATCACACGGCAGGAGCTCAGCGGCAGGCGGCGGCCGCCCTGACCCACCATGGCTTGGCGGTCAATCAGAGCAAGACCGCAGCGTGGTCAGCGGACCGAGTGCGACCACCCCGAGGCTATCCGGGGTTTGGAGTAGACCGCCTGAAGTGTTCGGGCAGCGCCGCGCCGCGTCTCGAACAACAGGCCGACAGGGTCAGACTAGACGGCGCGACGGCCGCGCAGCGGGCGCAGGCTATCACCCGGGAGGAGGAGGTGTTGATGATGGTGCTGCTGTGGCTGATGGTGAAGCTGATGGTGGCGAGATGATGCTGATGATGCTGATGATGGCAAGGTTCATGGTGATGGTGATGATGACTAGAATTATGATTGTGAGTCGGATTACTACTCCGCTTGAGTTTGTGCTGATAATGTTGTCGAGTATGATGAATATGATGATGATGACGAAGCTACTGGTGATGCTGATGTTGATGATGATGATGTTGATGATGATGATGCTGATGATGACGATGATGATGATGATGATCAAGATGATGATGATGCCAACGATGTTGTTGATGCTGCTGATGATGATGATGCAGACGGCCGACCGCGGGCCCCTTCCAGCCAACTGGAGGGATGCTTGGCCCTCTGACGAGGAACGCTGCAGCTGCAGTCGAGGTAGCGGAGGACTAGGGGCGGGAATGGTCATGAACGAGGAGGCGAATGCACGAACGAGGCTGGGAAGGACGACTGGGGCAGGCGAGAGGAAAGAGAAGAACTCGATGAGCAACAGCAGGATGAAAAAATGAGGGGGGAAGATGGCGACGAGGAGCACGAGGACGAGGATTGGAGGAAAGAGGACGAGAAGATGAGGACGAACTCGACTAATATCGAGGGCGGAGGTGTCCGAGATGCCCTGGTTGCAGCCGCGGCGCGTGCAGCTCGAGGAGAAGGTGGCAGCGCTGGAGTTTGCGAAGGATGCGTTGGTCTACCATGTGCAGAACTGGTCGGTCGCATCAATCCTCCTCCTCCTCGTCTCCCTCCCCCCTCTCCGCCTCCTCTCCTCCACCTCGTCCTCTTCCTCGTCGCAACTTCTCCCAGCGCAATCCCCTCGTCGCCTGGCCCCCGAGGCCCAAGTGATGGCGGATTGGTCTCGCATCGATATCTTTCCAGGTCGTCCGAGGCCGACATGGACTACGCCGAGTGCGTCGCTGCCACCACAAAGGCCATCAGCGGGTGAAGAGGGAGAATGAGGAGGAGGGAGTGGAGGAGGAGGAGGAACTGGAAGAGGATGAAGCAAGGGAAGACGCAAGATTGACAGATCCTCCCACTCGCGATCGCCTATCCCGTTGATCCCTCCATGGGTGCAACGGTCGAGGGGATCGTGAGAGGGGGCGGGGACTCCAGGCGAACAGCTTCTACCAGATGACCACCCTGTCCAGCAGTCCGTCGCCGCGGCCAACGCGCAGATCGCACCGCCGTGATCCACCGCCCCGACCCGAGCACAAGTTCGAGAGGAGGGAGGATCCGGTATCACCGTAAATGAAGAGAGAATGATGAAACAATCGGCGGAGGGGTGACGGAAGGAGCTCCAGATGAGGGTGATATCTTCGAGGGCAGTGATCGAGTGATCAGACCTCCTCTCGATAGTAAGGGGGCCCTCGAGGGGCTCGTCGGCCATGTTTCTCGGCCATTCTGAAGGGTGGGCGCCTAAACATTTCAACGCCCCTTGTCCCAGTCAGAGACGGGCCCGCGGATGGGGGGTGCCCCCCCCATATGCGCGGGCCCGTCTCTGACCCTGGAACCTTCTCTTCGTTTGGGGGCCCGAGGCCATGCCCAGAGCCCGAGGCCGTCTCTGACCCTGGTGCCCTTCCTCGTTCGGCCGAGGCCATGCGAAGGCCGACGTTTCGGACCGATCGGTCCTAGTTTGCTGGCGCGCGACGCGCGCGACGTTACAGCTCGAGCAAGGCGAGGAGGGGCTCGCCGTGCATCGCTCGAAATAAGCGACGCGTTCTCGAGAATTGCACGTCTCCTCCTCATACCCTTCTTCAGTCGTCTTCCTCCGCCACATTACCCCCCTCTTCTTCTTCATCCTCCTCCTCTCTCTCATCTCATCGTCATCATCATCATCATCTCCTCCTTCCAAGTTTAGTGTACCTCCACGCGTAGTGTTTACACGCCCTGGTTGCAAGTACCCTCCCAGCTTGATTGTCTGAGGAGGGCGTGGCACTCAGCTGGTGGAGCATCATCTCGCCCGCCCGATCCCCATCCAACCATTCCCGCCCGACCCCCTGACGCTCCTTCCTTCACCTCCCGTACTGGTGCAGGCATCCTTGCAGAATGCTCTGCACTGAGTTCGTTAATGGTGCTACGTGGGTCGTCCCGAATACGCTCGCGCGGGCACTCCAAGTGTTGCTGATCACCCATCCCCAGTTCTACTAACGAGGGGCGAGAAGGGATGCCAGTGGACATACGCACATCATATTATGGAGGCGTGGAGTGGAGGAGCCAATTCTGTTTTTGAGAGGGGCCCCAGGGTCAACAACGTTTGGTGACACCTCCCTGGGAGCTGGGGGCCTCTATACCTCGCATGGAGGAGGGGGGAGAGACATCATTGAACACCTCGCCACATCCATCATCAAATGCAATCATGCTGCATCTTGAAGATGTGTGCTGTTCCATTGCGTACCTGTGCATCCTTGCTTCTGCTGACCAGGTGGAGGCAAGTTCCAGCTAGGGGAGCTCAAGGAACTTGCATCGTCACTGCGCGCATCCTGGGGCCATCGACGCCAGAACTGATACGATATCATGGTTTTAAACAATATGTTGTGGCTGTTCACTTGAAGCGTTTCAAACAAAACGTTGTGGTTGTTCACTTGAAGCGTTCGGTTTGATTGGGTTTGTCCGTAAGCGTTTCGGTTTCAAACGATACGTTGTGGTGGTTTCACATGTCAGCCCGCGCCGCTGCAGCCCTGCTCTCGAGATCCACCGACGCTGGAGGTGGAGGGGGTCGCGCGGGCGCTGGAGGCAGTGCGGGTCGCGCTCCTGGTGTGGACGCTGGAGGCAGCCCTGGTGTGGGCGCTGGAGGCAGTGCGCGTCGCGCTCCTGGTGTGGGCGCTGGAGGCAGTGGGGGTGGCGATCCTGGCGCTGCAGGCCAGGGCACGTCGGCGGTTGAACCGCAGGGCCCTGGTCCGAGGGATGTGGTTTGTATACGAGTGTATGTATGTATGTGTGTATGTATGCCTGTGTACACATATATGCATATACGTATACATGATTATATATATATATGTATGTACAGATGTATGTACATACATCTATGCATACGTGTGCGTATACACATGTAAACCTGTTTGTAGGAAGGGGCGGTAAGGTGACCTTCCCCTCGGATGACGTTTTAAATCCCGTCTAGATCCCGTCTGTCAGGGCCCTGTGTTTGAACCGCCGAAGCAACGGATCTGGCCTCCGAGAGTACGTGGTGGACAGGTACCGCCGTGGCCTCTGGACGGCCACTGACGCGTGCATTCTAGCGCACCACTTCACTCATGCAGGCCAGCCCCGTGGAGTATAGCATCTTCCATCCCCCACCTCCTTTTTTTTTTTTCTCTCTCTCTCTCTCTCTCTCTCTCTCTCTCTCTCTCTATATATATATCTCTTTATGTTATCCCTGTCTCCTCCCTCATCGCTGTCCTCCGCTCATCCCCCCTCTCCCCTGCGCATTTCCTTGTCACCCTTCCCCTTGCATTTGGAAGATGCGAACACTCCAGCGGTTTTGCAGGGGGCATTGGCCTGAAAGACTTAGCCCGCGCTCCGGGTCGTGGGCAGCATGCTGAGCACATTAGGCATGCACTGGGTGAGAGACGTGCTGCATAATTTTACACGCGTGCCCTTCCCATGTGGAGCAAGCATACGGAATCGAGATACTTGAACAAAGAGTTCCCCATTAGCTTACCACACGGGAGGTTTTTCGAGATGCTGGAGCAACCTCCTGCAGATTTCAACACTGCTGTTGATATTAATGATTTACCTGGGACGTATGCTTCGCACCCTGTTGTTTTAGAAAGAGGACGCGCATGCACCATTCCTCTCACGCTATACGCAGACGGAGTTCCGTTCTCGAAAACAGATTCATTTATTTGCTGGCATTGGAGTTCGGCTGTGGATCCCAACAGAAAACGACATTTGATTTGCATTGTGAGAAAATCTGACTTTTGCCAGTGCTCGTGCAAAGGGTGGTGCACGATGCAAGTAATCCAAAAGGTGATCGCCTGGTCATTCTCGGCGCTCGCCGCTGGCACGTTTCCGTCTCTGGACCACAACCAAAAGCCTTTTTTTTCCCAAGAGCTTCGCGAGCTCCACCGCGGCCTCCCCTTCGGGAAATATGGCGCTCTCGTGGAGCATCGCGCAGACTTGTTAGAATATGTTTCTTGTTTCGGTTTTACAAATTGGACGCACGTTCACCACCCATGCTTCTGTTGCAACGCATCCCGCGCTGATATGTTTAATTCTGCCCGCGCGTTGGCCCTCTGCCCTTGGCGCCCCCGCCAGCGTAGCGATTTTAATGGTGACCTCGGGGCGTGCGTGACCAAAGGGTGCGTTCAAAGTCGTGCCCAGCTGCGCAGGCTTCTAAGGTGCATGGAGCTTTCGCGCAAATATGGTGGCTTTGCGCTGGTAAGGCCTTTGCCAGAACTTCATAAGGCCGTGGGGTGGATCGTCATTTGCGACGAAAGCCTACTTGATTGGCACGCCCTCGTGGGCACAGGTGGATCCCTTGGCGTGGATATGCCAGGCTGGCTCACGTTTTTCAACGCTGCAGACACTTCCAACATTAAATTCTGGAGCCCGCTGTCCACCATCAGAGGGTCTAGTGTCGATTGTCTTCACCTCGATTGTATGCACGTTTTCGACCTCGGCATCAGCCAAAATGTTGCTGGTGAGGTCATGCTGAAACTACTTGACGCAAAGTTTGCGCAATCTGCGGAAGAACGGGGGCCCGCGCGCGTGCCGAGTTCGCAACCTACCTGCTGCTCTCACTTTTGGGATCCTCTGGTCATTCCTCCTCGTCCGACGTTGTCTGCCCTCTCCATTCCCATTATCGTCAAAAGGCGTGCTTGGGGGCCCAATCACCCACCGTGGAGCGGCGGCGGGTCGATAACATGGTTCATTTGCGCAGGCGCCTCAAGGCGCATTTATAGTATGCGCCGTATGCCGCGCGGCAAGCATTCAGTAATCAACCGCTTACAGTACAACCAGCTAAATGCTGGCGGCGCGCGCCCCCCCCCTGAAGGCGAAAGCTGCGCGAACGCGGAGACTGATGCCTTTCATTCGGATTTTAGCTGATGGGAATTGGCGCTTTCTCGGCGCAGGCCATGGGCACCTTCGCCGCGTAGTTTCGGCGCTCGTGGATATGGAAGTCGCCATGAAACGGTCGCCCCGCAGAATGCAGCCAGTTGCTCTCTCACAGCTCCAGAACCACATCGTGACAGCTCTGCGCGAGTTGAAGGCGTGGGGCGGCCACGAAACGTATAAGTTTCACGCGGCCTGGGACCTTGCCAAAAGAGCAAGTACCCAGGGCAACCCCTTTTTTTATTGGACATATGCGGACGAGCAGGAGAACCGAGTCATGGGGGCAGCTGCGAAAAGCGCGCACGCGGGACCAACATTCTACGTTACACTGTTGCAGAAGATCTTGCCCGAGGCGCGCCGATCGCAGCGCGCCTCAGGTGGGGCAGATCTTGAGCACGTGTACGCGCGTAATGTTTGCGTCGCGTGTGGGCTCTTCAAATCTGCTCCCTTGGCGCGTCACCTCCTGCTCGTGACAAAAGAAATTGACTGTGCACCGCACGTGCTCAACAAGGAAAGGGGTTTGCAACAACAGTGGGGCTACTTGGCGACCAAACGCACTTATCGAATCACAACGCACACAAACTAATGACGATCTGTGCAATACAGGAGCACATCAAACACACAACAATGCTCATGTGCAAAACGAAACACAACACCAACACAAAAAACCCGTTGAATAAGAGATTGCGTTGCTTGTCAGAAGAGATTGCTTGTTTTGCCGACTCCTCCTCTACCTCGCCCCCTCCAGCACCCCCATTCGATCAACCTCCCCCACCCCCCCCGCCACCTCTTCCACCCCCACGACCTGGATGGTCGACGGTTTGGCTGCTGCTGGCCACCCTCGAGGGGCGCGCGTGCCATTTGCGACGTGAGCATTGCCCTGGCATGGTATTTCCTGGCGGTGAGAAGACATTGCGCTGTTGTTCGCATTCCTGGGGGCAGGGGAGGGTAAATGTGGCCCACAATGGATGAGCGGAGATTGCGTTGATTTGTTGCTCGTCGGGCGCCGGCTGCGGGGCAGCCAGGTGCTCGAGGCTGGCATGAGCGAATTCTGAGCGCTGCTAATTTCTACGGATGAGAAAAAAGATGGGGGACGAGATTGCGTTGTTATTTGTTTTTGCTCTGTCGGTCTGGAGTGCCCGAGCGGCTTCCAGGCGGCCCCTGCGGCGAGGCAGCTGCGCTGCGCGGCCATCGATTTTACATGTTGCTTCTACGAGTTAGATGACAAGAGGGGGGGAGGGAGGAGGAGGGAAGCGGGAATGCGCGAGAGGGGGAGGGAAGCGGGGGACAATAGATGAGAAGACATTGCGTTGTTCGCTGCTCTGGCACCGAAGTGGCTGCAACGCAGGCGCGGGCCGCTGCGCAACGGCGAGCGGTTGGGGCCCATCGCCCAATCCGAGTTTAGAAGGGGTGAGGGTGTGTAGCGGAGAAAGGATGGACGGACTGTGAAGGGAAATTGGATGATAATACATTGCGTTGTTTGTTGCTCGTCCCACACATCGGGTGTCTCGAAAAAATCGAGACGACAATATGTCATGATTGTCTGATTTTTTTGGGGTGGGATTTCACGTGCAGGCCCTCGGGACCTTCAAAAAAACAATTCGAAAGATCGAGGCGCCTGATGTGTGGAGGGCGCAGGGGGCTTATGGCCTCCTGGCCCAGGCGGCGCCCATCGCGGGCCCACGGACTCCACGGAGAGCACTTTATGTACCGTTTCACAGCGTTTCACTCGCAACTATTGTGTTGTTGCTGCCCTGGCAGAGATTGCTGCGATCGCCACTGCGGTGCGCTTGAACGATTTCATCAACAATTTCCATGCGTGGTCGCTGTTTTTGTCCCCTGGGGGAAAGGGGCAGGGGCATAGTATTCAGGCGGGATAGTGATAAGAGATTGCGTTGTCGGCTGGCCCCGCCGGAACGGGCGCCTTCTTTTTCCAGTCAGCTGCTGCTTTATCCAGCCAACTTAACGTTCCGAAGAGGAGCAGAGATTGCGTGATTGTTGTTTTGCGTCAGGCGCGCATGCAGCCCACGTGGCTGCATCGCCAAGCGCGCGGTGAGCAGATTGGAAACCCAGACATCCGACGCCTCAATTTTTTCGAGACGCGGGCCCCCGACCTCCCGACCATTTCCCTGGGGCCAGTTTTTCATCCCGAGTGGTTTTTTGACGGCCCCGACGCCCGGCGAGGGCCCCGAGAGGCCAAAAACTATGTAACACCTCTGTCTCGATTGTGTCGAGACGCCCGAAGTCTGGGAATACTTACAGCGTCGCCACCGCGCGTTATGCATACCCATCCTTCCTGAGGGTGATATTGGGAAAATCAGGGAGAGAGAAGGGGGGAATTCAAGGCAGAAGGAGGACAAGTAGGGGAGGTGATGACTAGAAATTGCGTTGTTTGGTTTGTTGCGTTCACGGCGCCGCATTCGACAATTCCATGTCGAATTTCTCGATGACTACGGAGAAGGATCCGAACATACTTTGCGAATAGAGGTGGATACAGATTGCGTTATTGTGCGTTTTCGGTGGCGGGGAACACCACCGCCGCCAACCCTTCTGCTCGACTTCCGCTTTGCAGGTGTTTCCCTGGCAACGATTGCAAGGATAATTGGAAAATGGATAGGGAACCGTGTGATAATAATGTAGCAACGTAAATAACAACGCGAAACAGCATGGTCATGTCAACACATATATGAACACAAGCGCACTGCCATACATATACGTATACACATATATTTCCATGCGCTTCAACATATACGTACGCATACAGTTGTATTCATGTGTATATATTCAAATATGATGTTTGTTCCACCACCCTTATGTTTCACCACCGTGGGCTGAATATTTCACCACTCCTATGTTTCACCGCCCTGCTGATTTGGGGTCGCGTTTCTTCTCAGGCCTCGGGCCCCTGGCGGCGCCGGCTGCAGGCCTTTGACATTTCCGAGAACGGTGCCCCTGCACGTTCCCGTCCGAGAGCGGCGCCCTACACACTTGCGTGCTACAGTGCAAAGCTGAAGAGAGAGAGAGAGAGAGAGAGAGAGAGAGAGAGAGAGAGAGAGAGGGAACGAGAGCCAGGAACAATTGAAAACAGTAAAGACCTTGAGACTCGTCGCTCCTGGCCCATATTTTTCTACATGCGGTCGCCCTTCGGGGCGCCGCCCTTCGGGGCGAAGCTTCCATCCCAGGACGAGAAGAGATTGCGTTGTTGTCGCCACGCATATGTCGCGTCCGCGCGTGCATTTTTACGATGATCCAGAACTGTTTGCCTTGCCTAAACAATCATCGTCATCCCGCATGTTTGCGTATCTGGTGGGTTCTCTGTCCGCGCTGTTCCCCAGCCCTGACTCGCCAAACTATCCTCTCGGCTTCCGCCTGTGCTCCGGCACCCTTGAAACGCAGAGGCGTTACTACCAGCGCCCAACGACGCAGTTCCTAGCTCATAATGCACGCGGTTGCAGCAACAGTCTGTTGTTGGCAACGCTTACATATAGTAGAAAAGCTGTCTACATACACACAACATCTTCACAACGAACCAACGACAACAGACACGCTATTTCACCAGAGCTACAGATGTCTCGTTGTTTGTGCAATGTCTTGTTTTTGTTCTGCTTTGTCTTGGATAAAACCATGACGTTCTGGGCGGCATTGGTTTTTTTAGGGCTGTCTGATGTCTGGGAGGGCCCTCGGCCCAGCCACCGCCGCCGGGCCCTTCGGCGCAGGAGTCCGGCCCGCCGGTCGGGCGATCGATTTGGCGGCTGGGCAGCCGCCGCGGCCGCTGCCTACAGGGGCGCCGCTGCGCTCGCGATTTCGATTTCCGGCCTCGAAGTGCTGCCCGGCTCGCGCGCGGCCGGTTCTGTTGGCGCCATGCCTCCGCTGCTCCTCGCGTCGTTCACAATTGCGCTCGCCTGGCCGCCGGGGGCGCAGCTCCTGGCATCGGTCGACACTGATCCAGGATTCCGACGCGATCGCGCTGTGATCTGGACATGCGGCGTTGGGCCCTGCGTTGTCTACGCGGCGGGTGGCCATCCCCCCGCGGTGGAGAAGGCAGACTGGGCGAGGGCGCATCGGATGGGCAGTTGCCGCGATCCGCTCCCGATGACCGCGCCCGCCTGGCGCAGTTCGACCAGGCGCCCTCGGGCGCTGCGTTGCAGCAGCTCGTCGTGAAGGCGCGCTCAGAGATCGCGGAGCTCCGCGCTGCGGGCCCGGAGCGGGAGGCTCTGCGCAACCCCGCCCGTTGCCCTTGAGAGGACGGCCGTGCGCCCCCATTCGTGCGGGGGCGCGCGCGCGCGGCAAGCAGCTCGCGCCCTCCCTCGGCGTTGCGCCCGTGCAGCGCGCGCCGGCACCTCGAGGCGGCGGCGTTCTGCCTCGCCGCGCGCGGGACCTGCGCGGCGCCCTCCGACGCGGGCGCCAGTCGCGGGCCAGCCCCCGCGCGGGCCGGCCCGGGCCTCTTCCGCCGCTCAGCGCCGCGGAGGCAACGTCGGGATGTGGCCTGACCCGCGGGCCCGGTCCAAGATCATAGCCTCCGCCAAGCGGGCGCGCCATGGGATTCCGGAATTTGTGCGAGGCGTTGTGCGCGGACGGTGCGCGCGATCAACTGAGCGCGCTCTCCTGCGGCCCATCCAGCTGGGGTTAGGCACCCTGCGGCTGCGCCTGCTGGCCTGCGCTGCCAAGCTGCCCCGCGTCGCCCTCGTTCTCCTCCCCGCCCGCATCGCGCCGCCTCGCCCTGGCTGGATGGAGGAAGGGAGGTAGAGTGTGGTCGTGGCCGGTCGGCCAGCGGCTGCACCTGCGCCCGGCAGGTCGCGTCGGGCCGGGAGAGGGCCGGCTGCGCTGCCCTGCCCCTGCGAGGTTTTCGATGTTTTCGACGCGTCGGATCCAGAGCATCACCGACGCTGGCTCGGGGGCCCGTCTCGCCCCCAGCGGTCGAGCGTCAGGCAGCGCTCAGGCGCAGCCTCCGCCGTGGACTGGCGTCGCCCAAAGGTCAAGGATGAGGCCTAGATCGCGGCGATGCGGCGCCGCGCTCAGAAGCTCCCAGCTGCCGCCGGCGCCTCGGCCGCCGGCGGCCTGCCCGGGGCAGGCGCCACCGCCGCGCCAGGTGGCCTCAGGGGATGGCCGAAAGGAAATTTCACGGGGGGGGCCCAAGGGCGGCGAGTTCCAGGAGGGGCCGCAGCCGCCATGACCGAGAGGCCCCCGAGCAGCAGACCTGGCCCGCCCGCCGCCGCCTTGCTGGGGCCTGCACGCGGCTTCTTCGAGATGCCCCCTCTGCCAGGCGATCCCGCCCTTGTCGAGGGCTACAGGGGCCATCTTCTTTTCGGCGCCCATCGTTGGTTCTGCCGAGACTAGCGAGAGCGCGCGCGGGGAGCTAAACGTCGCGAGCGCGGGCTTCGGCACCTCGTCGGCGTCGGCCCCCGCCTTCTACGCTGCCGGCAGGGCTTTCTCGAGCGCATCGCCTCGGGCAACGATTTCCACTGAGGGCCGCCTGATGACTGCCCCCCCGAAGGGGGCCCACGCGGGGCTACTTCGAGGCCGCGGAGTCTACGACGCCGAGACGGCTTACACTACGCTGGCGCCCTACCACAGCGGCGGGCCCCCCCTCCTGGACGACGCGACCGCCGCGCCCGCTGTGGCCTCTCTGCTGCGCGGCCGCGCTCTCGAGTGCCTGGCGGAGGCTGAGGGGCAGGTGATCGCGGCCGCCGAGGAGGCCCAGCTTGATCGCGGCGTGAATGGCGCGATCATGATGCGGCAGTCGCCGGCGCCGCGCCGCATTCATCAAGGGCCCGAGGCGCCGCGGGCTGGTCGGCTTCACTGAACGCCCCAAGGAGTTCGTCGGAGTTTCCCTCACGCGGAGGAAGTAGCTGGCCACCGTGGGCATGGCGTTGGGTCGCCGCAGGTCCGATCCGCACTTCGAGAACCCTTGGGGTGGATTTGCTGACCGCGGATCGCCTCGACCGCGCAGAGCACGGGAGCGACGGCGGCGACCCTGCGCTGCCCATCTTCTTCGGCGAGGCCGACGTCAAGCATTGCTTTAACCTCGTGATGTTTGACGGCCAGATGTCGCGCTACTTCTGCTACCCCAGCAGGGTGGCCAAGGAATTCGGCGCGGTGGGGAACGGCATTGGCGACAGGACTGCCGTCGCCCACGACCTCGCGTGGCCCTGCGCCCTGGCGCTCCCAATGGGTTGGACGCAGTCGCTTTCCCTTGCCCAAGTCTCTAGCCCGGGCCTCGTTGAGAAGGCGCCGGCGGCTGCGTCCAGTCAAGCAGTTGCCGATCGCGCCCCCCCCCCCCTGTTCTGTTCGCCGCGAGTTCCTGGCGCCGCGCAGGCGCGGGCGCCGCCGTGGGGGTTGGAGGCGCTGAGGCGCTGGGTGCGCAACTCGATGGCGACCGCCGCCACGCGGTCGACGCCCACTGGCGCTGAGGGTCCAGCACGCCCTCCGCTTGGCTCTCGCCCTCCGCCGCATGGCGGGGCGCGTCGGTCTCTCGCGCTGGGAGAGCCTCGCGGCGCGGCGCACCATCTACATTTTCATTCGCGAGCGCTACTGGGCGAGAGCCCACGGCAGACCGATGTCGCATGCTTCTGGGCCCGACGCCGCTGCTGCGCTCTGAGTGGAACCGGCCGCGGCTCCCGCGAGTCCTCTCCGTGGGCGCCAGCCTGCGCGGCCGGGGGATCTCTCCTTCCGACGCTGGCGCCTCCGACGCGAAAAAGCATGGCCGCGTGATGAAGCGATCTCGTTTCTGCCGCCGAGGCTGGATTCCCGCTCTTGCCAGCGCCCTCGTTGCCTCTGGCTTGTCGTGCTTGCCCGACGCCCGGGGCGTCGACCGTTAGGGAACATAATGCGGGATGTTTTAGAGGCTGGCACCTGAGAGATCCCAGGGCCCCTTCTTCACGGAGATCGGTGGCGTCTTACCTCGCGCGGCAAGTGGGCCCAGGGCGCCCAAGTCTTTGGGGCCCGCGTCCTCGCCAAAGTTGTCGCCATAGTCTGTAAGTGTGCTCCTGGTGGTTTCTGCAGAGTTCTGTTATTGGGTCTCAACGTGTCCTCTCCGCCAGGCGCGGTAGATATCGAGTCCGTAGTTTTGGTCTCCTGGTCTTGATAAGACCCCTTGCGCATTGCGGCCCATGCGGCCCACGCGCTGGGCCGCGATCTTCGTTTCGGATTATGTTGGCACCCCTTGGAGTTGAACGGCAGCGATGCTGGGCCCTGGATTTGCGACCCCATGCAGCCACGACCGACCTCGCCCGACTGGTGGCTCGGGGACAGCCCGCGGGTCATCCTGAATCGGAAGGCGTCTTGGCTCGATCGAGCTCGTCGATCCTGAGGCCCTTTGTCTGGCCTGTGCGCGTTCCTCGATTGCGACGCAAAAGGACTCGCATCCTCACCGCGCCCTTCTGCCCGAATCCGGCGACGAAGCAGGCGCGGGCCCGTCGGGCGAGAGTTCCGACGCCGGGGTCGACGCAGCCCGCGGCGGCGTCGCGTCCGACGAGGACTCGGGCGCTCGGGGCGCCAGGCGTTCGAGACAGCCTCCTGACCGAAGCGGGTCGGTCTGCGCAGCCGTCATTAGAGGCAGCGGCCGACAGCGGGGCCGCTCGGGCCACGGCAGTTGTCGCGGCCGCTGCCGCCGCCGAGGCTGCCGGCGTGGACGGCGATGGCGTTGACACGGATGTCGACGAATCGACCGAGGCAGCGCGGGCCGAGGCGCATCGCCAGCGCCTTCTGCGCGCCGCGTGCCGCGCCCGCAATCATTTCCTGCGGGCAGAGACGCCCCCGCCACAGTTGGCGCCCGAAGAGATGGCGGTGACGGCGCGGGCAGGGAGGCAGCACATCCTGGAGCTGCAGCAGTTCGTCAACTTTGCGCGCGCGGAGCAGCGCCCCGCGGCGGGCCTGGCCCAGGTCGTCGCGGCGCCGGTGAAGTACATAAACTACATGTTTCTGAATGAGAGCAGGCGCGCGGGGGCGAGAAGTCCCGAACCGCCGCGCTGGCCCGGGCGCCAGAGCATTCGCGCGTGGGGCGGCCTCGCGGGATGGCGCCGCCTTGCCCCCGTCGGTCGCGGAAACCGGCCCCCTTGCCGGTCTGGCGCGCCATCGCCGTTGAGCTGGCGCGCCGCGGGCTGCTCGCGATGGGGCCGGCAGCGATCATCGGGGTCAGCTGCTCGGGCCTTCGGAGCTCCTGACCCTCGACGCCTCGAACCAGGCGGCTCCTGCCTCGCCGCCTCGCCAGCGTCGCGCTACTGGAGCCTCCTCCTCTAGCGCCCCTCGGAGTGCTCGAATCGCAGCGGGGCCGGGGAGGCAGACGACTTGATTGCGATCGACAGCCAGTCTATGCTTTCGTGGGTGTGCCACTACCTCCAGGTCGCAAGGGGGCGCGGCCGCTCGCTGTGTTCCTTCGGCAATTTTGCATCCCAGGCGGAGTTCAAGACTGATTGCAAGATGCTGGGGGAGATCGAGCTGGCGCCCTCCCGGGCGCGCCACTCAGGGCCCCCAGTCGACCGCCTGGAGCCCACGAGAACGCGGGAGGAGTGCCAGCAGCGAGGGCGGCAGAAGTGCCCGCCACGAGAAGTACGCGCGTCTCGGCAGCCTCTGGGACGAGCTCTCGGTCGCGATGCGATGTCACATGAAGCTGCGCAGGGAAGAGCTCGCCGCGTTCTTCCTGTCGCCCAGCTGTTCCCCTTCCGCCGCCAGCCGCATGAAGGTGACCTCCGATGGTTCCTACGTGGCCGACCTCTTCGTTAGTTTGGGAAAAGGTCGGGCGTGAGGCAACTCGATTGGGCTTCTCTGCTCGGGCTTGGGGCATCCTACATGGACCAGATCTTGGCCTCACTCCTGAGCGTGTCGTTGTCAGTCGTTATCCGACATACGTATCGGAAGGGTCTTCGGTGCTATGATTGCGTTGCCGCGTTTTCATTGATCACCACCCGGGACAAGGCTTACCATATAAGGTCCAGTACTCAACCCTAGGGTACCGATCTCAGTCACGATTCCGATCGTGGCAGACACTATGGAGGCCGGCAATAAGATAACCCGTGCTTTTTGTATGCATCTTCGCACACTTCAGCAAGTATCTTATATACAGGTCCCGATGATCTCTGGGAGTCCTCGCACAAGTAGATTGTTGCACATACCTGAGCTACTCTCCCTCTCTGAACGTGCTCGAGCGCGATGGCGTTTGACAGTTTCCTGCCAGTGGGGGGGGGGCATGGCGGAAGAGGACTTGACTGGTTTGTGGTAATATCAGCGATGCAGATTCTGGTCACGTCGCACGCGATTGTATTGGCAAGAAGGGTAATCGCTCCCGCACCGACCGTAGCCACATCGAGCTTCCTGGGCGGGATGCCAACAACATTTTGCGGATCAGCATCGCGCAGCCGTGCCCGACACGTCTGGCGACAGCCATGGCAAAAACTTTGACTTCAGAAGGATTCGCTGCTTCCTCGTACAACGCCGGTGGTCTGATCAGAACTACTGTTGCCGAATGGTTTCTTTTTCGTTCCTCCCCAGTTGCTGTGGCAGTGTCCCGCCCGTCCCTGGGGAACCCATGTCCTCGGGATTTCGGGAAGCTGGGATTGGCCGAGCGCCTGTTCCAGCCGCCCTCTCGAACGTTGAAGTTGTGCGTGACCCTGTGCAGTCAGTCAGTTACTCCGATGGTGCCCGCTGTAGCAATGACGTCTTATCATGTAGGTGCGTGCGCGGGAATGATATGTAGTGTGTTTCGTGTGCCGGGGCCCTGACGTCTCCTCGGGCCCATTGGTCGGCGAACGTCTGGGCTCGAGCTCGACAGGCACTTTCCTTGCTGCTGCTCTTTGCACCCGCCCTTTTTGATTTTCGTTCTGTGGGGTTGGCCGAACAACTGTTCCAGTCTCCTTCTCGAACGTTCGAGCTGTCTGTAACCAAGGGCAGTCAATTAGTGCAGATGTTACCCGCAGTAAGAAATCACGTCTTCTCGCAATTAAGTTATTGACATGAGTTTGCGTTCAGAGGCGGGGTGCCACGGGGCCGCTCCTCCAAGAGGCTGTTTCCGGTAGGAGGCGCTCCCGTGGCTAGGAACCCTGAACAATAATCTGAACGCCCGGGGGTCTCCTTTGGTGAATGGGGTGGGGGTCCACTCGGGTGATGCCGCGGGTTTGTTTTGGAGGGGGTCGAACACGGGCAAAACACGCCCGGAGGAGGAGGAAGAGGAGGAGGAGGAGGCGGAGGAGGAGGAGGAGGGAGGGAGGGAAGGCAGATGAAGGGAAAGGAGGGGAGAGGAGCGAGAAGGCGGACAAGAGGGAGCGGGGGGTGGACGAGGCGTGGGCCAATGGCCCGCGCCGCTGTCCCTTTATTTCTGCTTCCTCCGTGCAGGCGTCTTCAGGCCCGTCGGGGCAGATCCTCAGCTTCGGCCTCGGGCCAGGCGATTCGCAGTCGGACGTGATGCTCTCGGACAACGAGCAACCGCAGTGCACCAACGTGATCGCCGTGGCCAGCCCGGACTACCCTGGGGCGTACCGGTTCGAGGCCGCCTATTGCCCGGGCCATTATCTGTCTTTCGACCCGCCGAAGCACGCCCAGATGATGCGCGGGGGCGACCAATTCGCGGTCATCGACTTCGTCTTGACGGATTTCTTGGTCAGCGAAAACTTCAAGACAATCGACGAGGTGCTGTGGCCGCGCGCAAAAGCGGCCAGGGCGGGGGGGGCGGCCTTCTGAGAAGGCAGGGGGCTTCACAGAAGCCGTCTTGCCTTCAGAGTTCACTGTTTAGAAACCTCGGAGTGGCGACGGCCCCTTCGAAGAAAGACTGCCGCCCTCCTCGCCTTGCTTCTTTGTGTGCACCGCCGACCCTCGACGAGGTGCTGATCCCAGCGGTCGAGGCCCTGGGGGGTGGCAAGGAGGGCGTCAGCCTCACAAGGGTCTGCCAGAACTCTGGCGTCGTGCACCACTTCCAGAAGACCATGGGTGGCGTGATCTGGGATTTCGAGGACTTCAGGCTGGAGAAGACGAGGGCCTCGAGTGGGAGGAGGAGGGGTGGGGCGAGAGAAGAAGGAAGTAATTGTTCGCCGGAACAGAGATTTGTCCGCGCTTGCGTAGCGTCTCTTTCTCCGTCTTCCTTCGTTGCCTCTGCTGATGTTTGCTCTTCCCCCGTCTTCCTCCGCAGTCGTATGTTCAAGCTCTCTTGGCCCCTGCGGGGCCCGGTGCCTTTTTCGGGGTGGACGGGCATTGCCGAAGCACGGGCGGCCTTCGCCTAGGGGGTCGCAGCCGTCATCAGTGCCCAGGCGGCGCTGGAGCTGGCGCGGGACGGTACGCCCCTGGCGTGGGTGGGCGAACGCCTCATGCACTGCGATGGCGCCGACCATTGCTGTCTCGCGGTCGTGTATGGCGAGCGGGCTGGCGGGTGCTACTTGCAATGTGTCGCTCAGCCTGGCAGCGAGGAGCGGCAGCGGCGCAGCACGAGCGTCTCGGACTTTAAACGGAGAAGGTTAAAGGCGAGGTATAAATCGAGCATGTACCGCTGCCGTGCCTGGCTCAAGCCGGGCCCGGCCAAATATGTGATTGTGCCTCACCGAGGCGCACGACTTGCATCAGAGATCGGAAAATACCTTTTCCATTGACGATGCCCATCCTATCCTTTACTCCAGATCCCATGCTTCGTCTTGCTCTCTTGCTCATGCGATATGAGCCAAAGCCTGGGATATGGCAACGCTTAAAGCGTAACACATACCTAAGCTTACCAGCTTGTTTTCGACTTGGTAGCGGAGCTGGCTACACTCTCGTGTGGCTGGCTCTCGCTCTGATTCCTGTAATCCACGGCACAACTTGGTGGACTACTACTACGGTGGAATACCATGTTGCGCCGGCTCTGCGAGGAGCGGAGCCAGTCCGCGATCGAGCTAGCGGGGCAACCCGCGAACTCGAGACGCTCTCTCCTACTTCACTGCGCCACTTCACTCCCGACTTCCACCAGATGCCAATCGGCAACTCGATCGAGAACGTGGTCACCCTGCGGGGCTACCCGCAGCGGGGCCACCTGCATCCCGTGCCAGTCAGGCGCCTCACGGCTACTACGCCAGAGCCTGACAAACCACAGCCTAAACCAATCACCGAAGCCGAAATGCACATGCACTGGATTAAGATAACTATCTTCGGCATTCTGTGGGTAATAATGGGATGTGCTGTGGGATACATGCGGCAGGGGATGGACGACACGCGTACTACTGGCCCTTCATGGGACCCTGCCGGTACTACGCCTTTTCGCGAATATGTTCGCGAAGTACATGCATGGTTAAACGTAACGAGCGGCAATATGACACCACCACAACAAGCTGCAGCACTACAACGAGGCCTTCAAGGTCTTGCTCGTCGTATCGCCATGCAGGTCCCCTCCCAGATCATCAATTATGGTGTAACTGTCAATGGACAGCCAACGGATGCAGTAACATATATACTGTACTTACTGAGCACCAAATTTGAAAATCTGGAAGATGAGCGCCAGCTCAACTCTGGCACTGCCCTTATCGACTTTCGCGTCGAAAGGGGCGAGCGAATCGACTCAGTGTTAGCTCGATTCGAGATGGCCCGTGACGAGGCTAACTCTGTTGGATTTGTCATCCCCAACTTTCAGATCCTAACGCTGATTCTCTTCAGAGCGTTAGGCGTTGGCGCGTCACGAGCCCAACACCTGCTGGAGCCCTTTAATCATCAGATGCCCCGAACACAAGCAGACTATGACAGGCTGCTGACCAGGATGAGGAACTACGGACATGTCGCCGAGCGCTCTCCTGGCAACATAGCGGGTATCTTCACAGGGCACCACTCACATGCAGGTGTCTACGCCACGACTGCGGGGTCACCCGCTGGTCCTGGCGAGCCAAATCCTTGGGCTGACCCAGCCGATATGCCCAACGAGGCCACTGCCCTTTTAGGGCAGACTGGCCAGGCATCGGCAGAGGCAGCTGAGGCGAACGCCTGGTCGAACTACTCGCCAGGCGCCGCCTACACTGCAAGCCCGCCCTCGGGCACAACCCTCTGGGGCCAAGCGGAGTCATCCGCTCAAGGGTCTCAGCCACCCTCACCGTTTGAATCTGGCACTGACACAGACACCTCATCTGACGATGAGCACAATGGCATAGTCTCTGCTGGTAATGACTATCCAGCGGATGACACTCACCTTTCTGAACAACAAAGAGCGGAAGCCGCTTTTATGGCCTATCGCAAATCAAAACGCCGTTGGAGGCGCTTTATGAAGAAACCAGTCAGAAAAGTGAGACGTGCAGTACGCCGACATTTCAAACGATATGGAAAGGGTCGTGGCAAAGGGGGTCGCAGACGCCGTATGCATGGTAGGGGTATCACTGCTTTCCTCACGTCCTTAACTGATATAGCCTTTGAAGAAGTTCTTATCGGAGGCAAAGGTCGGGGTCACAGGCGGACCTCCGGTAAGGGAAAAGGGCGGAGGGGCAACCCTAGGGACGCTTCTGGCAATACTATGAAGTGTCATACATGCGGTAGCACAGATCATTTGCGCGATCAATGCCCGAAGGGAAAAGGAAAGGGATCCGTGCATTTGGCTCAAAATTCTTTTATGGATGACATAGACTACATTGACTATGAGTTTTACGTCAATCCAGAAGCGGCTCCCGCTGCGGGCTCCTCCACGTATTGCGTGATGGCCCGCTACGCTGAAGCAACCGTAGCCCTGGAAGACTACGCAGTGACCCTCTTCGACGAGTTCCACGGCTGGGACGAGGTCGACGAGGTCGCGTTCAATGCTTGGTTCGGTCTTCCAGCGGGGCCACCCGCCGGCGACGAGGTCTCCGAAGCTGAGACCGTCCCGGCGACCGAGGAAGAGCTCACCGCCGCGCTGGCACCGCAGGTGATTGGCATGCCGTTGCTGCCAGACCTTTCGCGAGCTGGTTCGGAGGCGGGAGACGCTGATGACGAAATGCGGGGCCATCCCGCGTACTCTGACTCCGAAGAGGCGGAAGATGACTATAAGGACATGCTCCAAGAGCAGGTCGCTGAAGCAATCCGACTCCTGAGTGCGCCAGCACATCAGCAGATAACCATGAACGACCTGCTGTCGCGCCCAGGGGCTGCACGGCTGCGTCCACACCTGGATTCGGACATGTCGGCACCTCAGATGCTGACAGCACTCCAGGCTCTAGCGGGGTCACCCGCCGAAGTGACGCCAGCCGCAACAGCGGGGCCACCCGCTTGGTCTATGGATGTATTTATGCAAGGTTGTGATCAAATAGACCTTAACGACCTCACGATGGAGCAGTTAAACGACATCGGGTACTTCCGAAGCCCGTATCAACACGTGTTCATGGTCCAGGACAGCTCAGAGGACTCGGAGGACATGCGCTACGCCAAGAGGGACAGACGACCGTCGCCTCCCCGAGACTCAGAGCATGACGATCAAAGGCCAATGGAACGTGGTAGTGCGTCAGCGGGGCCAGCCCGCAGGAGGAGCCGTTCAGCTCCCAGACGCCCTACACATGATGCATCGGGCTATCCATACAGTACTGAGCACTCCGTTGGAGTATCCGCTCAGCATGTGCCGGATTGGTACATCAACTGGTACCCCGGCTATTCGATGGACGTGATCCGCCACTGGTATTCTAAGGAGTACTGCACCAAAAGGGACGAAACTGGCGTGATAATACGTACCAAGGGTGGCAAGACCAAAACGCCAGAGGCTTGGGACAAAAGGGCTAAGAAACAGGAGATCATCAACGATCGCAAGACATACAGGAAACAAGTATGTCAGTGCGAGCCCTTCAAAGGTCACATGCGCAGTTGTCCGATGGACCGCCCCTCCAGGAGTCCTCATCACGGTGAGACCCCGTGGAATTGGTCTCATGGAGATGACGCTGGCAACGTCCATGATCCTAACAAGGAGGTCCCTGGAGGAGGAAAGCGCATCACCGAAGCCGATCGCGTCCCTATGACCGAAGAGGTGGCCAACATCGTCAGGGAAAATTGGGTACAGCTTCCCAATGACCATCGCCTCAAGGAATGGAACCGCCGATTCCATAAAGAGGCGGGGTCACCCGCAGGATCCAGTAAAGAGGCGGGGTCACCCGCAGGATCCAGCAAAGAAGCGGGGTCACCCGCAGACGCGGCGCCAGCCGCTGGGTCCGCGGACGACGATTGGATAGCTGTTGCATCTGCTGCTGGGTCCGCCGCCGGCACTGACCACACCGAACTGAATGAAGAATGGGCGGCGGAAGACGGCTCAGAGAATCCATTCCCTGATGGATGCGCCTGCTGGTACTACAGCTCTTCGGCGCAGAAGTGGTTTTGCACGAGGGTAATTCACCGCCATGAAAATGGCAAGTACAAGCTGGCCATAAAAGGTACTGCCGACATCGACCAGATGAGGCAGGTCATCCATGATCATGGCCAGCCAGAAGGCCCTCCTAGAGACCCTCCTGGTCCACAACCGGGCAAGGGCAGCAGACCACCTCCAAGACCTGAAGCCGACTCCTCGTCTTCACCGACTCCTGCGAAAAGGCACCCGTCCAAGAGCCCCGAAGGCACACAGGGGCGGGCGAAGGCCAGAGGGATCGCCAAGACGGACGACCCTGAGCCGGTAGATCCTCCCGGTCTGTCCGTGACGGAGAGGAGGAAGGCTTTTGCTGGACCATCGACCCCGATGCCACCGGCGACCCAAGGCGATGTCAAGGATGAAGCTCGCAATCAGCCTAAGGCAGCCTTCCGAGGTGACTGGACTCCAACTCTGCATCAGCCGCGCCTTGCACCACGACCAGGTTCGGCACGAATGAAAGCACAGCCGAAGCCCGAAGCTGGGATGAGGTCGGTGCGGGCAGAAGCGGCCGCCAAGGCTAAGGAGGACAAGGGCTCTGCGGGGCCACCCGCTAAAGCGGCGCCAGCTGCAGCAGCGGGGACACCCGCAGAAGGCACTCTCTCAAGAGAAGAACGCTTCAGAGTCCTCAAAGAATTTGGCGACCGACAGAAACTAACCGA